TAAAGCCAGCAACAAACAACAGAATATCTTTCATCACGGGACTGCTCACAAAGTCAACACATAAAGGATCACTTTAACAACAGAGTAAAACAGGCAAAAAGGGAGGGTTTGGCCTGTATATCACAGAATCTCATAGGCTCGGAAATGCTAAACACTTCAGGTGATGTAGTTGAAATTTTGCAGAAAAGATCGAAAACCAAAACCTTGTCATTGTGGTTGTATACAAGCCTATGGGTGCAACTTCACAGCAGTTCCCGGAACAACATTTATAAATTGACCACTGTCTAGAAAAACTTCCAACTCCTGCCTCAAACATCTTGCTCTTGGATATTTCAGCCTAAGACACCTAAAATGAAGGAATGTAGCAAAAAATGTCTTAGCAGAGATAACTGCAAGAGGCAGCTCATATAAATATTCACACACACACGAGCTATTAAATCTCTACACCATATTCACCTTAAGCCAGCATATAATAGAGCCAGCAAGATTGGAGAATACGCTGGACCTCATCTTCACTAACAATGATAGATTGATGTGTGTCAAGACACACTCAAATCACTCAGATACATTTCTACGCTGGTCAGGAGCCCTGCACAGACATGTATGAGCAGGGCTCCTGACCAGCAAAATGTGATCGTTTATGAAGGTGCCTTCACCAAATTCAGCTTCAATAACAAAAACATGCAGTGGGATCAAGTCAATCATGTCCTAAATGAAACAAGTTATGAAGATAAATTTTAAACAACATAGATCCGAACCTCTCCTAGAAAGAATTAACTCTGTGGCACTTGAGGTATGCTCAAGGCATATTCCTTTAAGAAAACGGAAGAGATGTAAAGTAGAAAGAGACGCTCCCTATACAGGTGTAGGTGAAGAATTACAGAGCTACTGAAGAAGACCAGCATATCAGAAATATGAAGGGAGGCACTGGGCAGAGAAATAGCAAATCTCGAACTTAAGCTTAAGGAATCATACAGGAGACAAAAAACTCAGGCAGAACCAAAAGTCATAAATGACATTGAAAGAAACCCAAAATATTTCTTTTTTTTTTTATGCCAAATCTAGGGCGAAAATAACATCCAGTACTGGACCTCTGCTTAGAGACAGGACCTACACAAATGACATCAGGAAATGAGTGAGATACTTGATGACTCCGTGTTTAGTGAACCGCTATCCAGTCTAAGAGTCGACAAGGTAAAATAATTTTTTTATGAGAGAGAATCAGAATTTGGTCAATTCAAACCTTCTCTGATATTATACTAACACCACATGATTCTGAAAAGGCAATAAATGACATGCCAATGCACTCGGCCCCAGGCCCAGACTTGTGGAACTACGTGCCTTTAGATGACCTTGTGCATGGACACAAGGTCATCTCACAGTCACTTAAAACAACAGACATAGCCCCACTCCACAAAAGGGGCAATAATGCAATGACAAAAATTACAGACCAATAGCGTTAAAGTCCCATATTATAAAAATCTTTGATAGGGGTGTAAGAAGCAAGATCACCACCCATCTAGATACCCATCAGTTACACAACCCAGGGCAACATGGGTTTAGAGCAGGCCGCTCATGGCTGTCCAAACTACTAGATCACTATGATAAGTTCTTGGACGCTCTAGAGGAAAAAAAATGTAGATGTAGTATACACAGACTTTATGAAGGCCTTCAACAAGTGTGATTATGGTGTAATAGCACACAAAATGCGTGAAACAAAAGAATAACGAGAAAAATTGGTAGATGAATCCATAGCTTCCTAATATATAGAACACAAAGAGTAGTAGTAAATAGAATAAAATTTGAGAAGGCCACAGTGAAAAGCTCTGTTCACAAGGCACAGTACTTGTCCCCATCCTGTTTCTTCATCCTCATATCTGACATGGACAGAGATGTAAGCTACAGTACCGTGTCTTCCTTTGCAGATGACACCCGAGTTTATATGACAGTGTCATGCATCGATGACACTGCAACACTCCAAGTAGACATCAAGCAAATCTCTAACTGGGCTGCAGAAAACAGTATGAAGGGTGGCATGCAAAGAGTATGTTACAATTTATTCGGTATGTGTCACCACTCCCATATAGGCGGGCCTCCCAACCAGCAAATTGGGTGCTAAGGGTTTAATGATGGATAGGGTACCCTTCATTAAATCAGTACCTTGGTTCATTAACCAGTTACAGGCAAGTCTGCCAAAATTAAAGCAACGTGGTTCGCTTGTTGTAAGCATTAGTAGACTTGCCTACCTGCTGGTTGAGTATGGTGCACTCTGGCTTCTGCTTTGCCATCTGTCACCGTGGTGTAAACTTATTATTCTATCTGTACATTTTGTACAAAGTGCATTTAAACCTGTATATAGTGTGTGAAGACAAATACAAGTTATAGTCTACTGCTGAGTTTCTTTGTTCCAATTCCCATTACGAACCAGGTCTCACAGGACATTTACTACCTGTGTTCATAATAATGAATTTCAATGAAGAAAATTTTCAGTTATTTCGATATGGAAAACCTGAAGTAATTAAAATTATATTGGAGTATAAAACAAATTTCAACCACACAATAGGGCGAAAAACTAATGTGAAGGACCTGGGAGTGATAATGTCAGAGGATCTCTCTTTCAAATATCACAACTGTGTATCCATCATATTTGCTAGAAAAATGATGGGATGGATAATGAGAACCTTCAAAACTAGGGATGCCAAGCCCATGATGATTCTTTTGAAATTTCGGCTGGAATATTGCTGTACACTTACGGCGCCTTTCAAAGCAGGTGAAAATGCCGACTTGGAGAGTGCACAGAGAGGCTTTACGACACACATAAGTACGATAAAACACCTAAATTACATGATAATATACACCTGGAAAATCCGAGAGGAATTAATACCAAATTTGTACATGAAGATCACTCCTTACAAAAGCAAAAGACTCGGCAGGTGGTGCAACACACCCCCAATCAAAAGTAGGGGCGCCACGAGCCTGGGGCCAAGATTGTTCAACTGCCTTCCAGCATACATATGGGGGATAACGAATAGACCTCTGGTTGTCTTCAAGAATGCCTGGACAGACGCCTAAAGTCAGTACCTGACCAGCCGGGCTGTAGTTCGTACGTCAGTCTACGTGAGGCCAGGGGTAACAGCTTGTTGATCAGGCCCTGATCCACAGCGAGACCTGGTCAAACACTGGGCCAAGGGGGCGTTGACCCCCGAAACCTTCTCCAGGTATATTAATATCATTATTATTATTATTATTATTATTATTAGTAGTAGTAGTAGTAGTAGTAGTAGTAGTAGTAGTAGTAGTAGTAGTAGTAGTAGTAGTAGAAGGAGGAGGAGGAGGAGGAGGAGTAATAATTGCTACTACTACAACTACGACTACAACTTTGGCTAATACTATTACTACTTCCCTTACTACTACGACTATTACTGTTACTACTGTTACTACTACTACTGCTATTACGACTGCTACTAATACTATTGCTACTACTACTATTACTACTACTACTTACTACTACTATTACTACTACTATATTATGATTACTAATATTTTTAAATTTATTTATATTATTTACATTATTATTTTTATAATTATTATTTCTACTACTTTTACGACTACTATTACTACGACTATTACTACGGCTACTGCTACTACGACTATTACTATTGCTATCACTACAGCTACTACTACGACGACTACTACTACTATTGCTATTACTACAACTACCACTAATGCTTCTGCTACTAATGTTACTACTATTACCATTACTACTACGTCTTGATTAAGCTCCTATCTAACAAACCGTAGACGTAATAAATGTTTCACTAGTTCTTCCTGTATTCATTTCCTCAAACAACTTGAATCTACCTCTAATGATCTAGCAGAGATTAGCTAATAATCAGTTACTGTGTCATGACCAATGAGGCACCTGGAGCTTGACTTTCTACAACAAATGCTTACCACATCATCGTGTTTATTGTTTGATCTGGACGAACGATGACCGATGAAAACTTAACTTTTTTTTTTTCTTGGATCTGTTGCATTTTGCTTCACTTTGTATATACTCGTTAGTATGATAGAAATCTTGGTAAGTGATACCGGTAAACTGGTTTAAAAAGACACTTGAGAAAACACCAGGACACATTTATTAGAAAACGTTCCGGTCCTGGGACCGTTATCACTTCTAACACTGATGTTACAATGCCAGTATATATATAGACGCAGAGTGAAAGTGTGACCTGTACAATGACATATTTGAAATGAGGACAAGTAAACAATGAGGTCATGAGATTCCTGTGTGATACTTTGCCTGGCTGAGTATCATATATGCTAATGTTTTTGAAATTTTGTTGTTTTCAGTATTATCTTCTATGGTGACAGCGATTTGCTAGGCTTCCAGTGAGGACGAGCTGTGCTTGATTTGCTAGGCTTCCAGTGAGGACGAGCTATGCTTGATTTGCTAGGCTTCCAGTGAGGATGAGCTGTGCTTGATTTGCTAGGCTTCCAGTGAGGACGAGCTGTGCTTGATTTGCTAGGCTTCCAGTGAGGACGAGCTATGCTTGATTTGCTAGGCTTCCAGTGAGGATGAGCTGTGCCTGATTTGCTAGGCTTCCAGTGAGGACGAGCTGTGCTTGATTTGCTAGGCTTCCAGTGAGGACGAGCTGTGTTTGATATCAATTCATCAAATGTCCAGTGGAATCCCTGTGGAGGACACAGGCGTTCTTTATGTCTTTGTTGGTGACATTTCGATGTTCATTCAGGCGGACCGAAAGATTTCTGCCTGTTTCCCCTACATATTTCTTGGGACAGTATCCACAGGGGATGATGTAGATACCTTCTGTGGTAGAGCTGTGAGGCTACGCCAGTATATTTCTCTGTGTATAAGACACTGAATTCCTTTTAATTCTTGACGTTAGTGTACAGGTGAATTTAACCCTTACGCATATACGAGCAGTCAGTTAGCCGTAAATCTAAATAGCTAATTGTGATTCACTTTTTATGTGCAGAAGATTGCGTCATGTTGTGGCTGGGAAGCGACACACTGGAGTGGGCGAAGACTGATCTGCTGATCATCTTGGCCATCACTGCCTTGGTCATCTACTCTCTGGTGCTGTTCTTCAAAAGGCAGCAGAAAGTAAGTACACAGGTTTACAAACAGGTATGGAAGACCTTATATTGCAAGAGACTAGGGAAACTACTAGTAAGAGCTTACGCAGCAGGTGCTGCAAATAGCCTCTTCTCAAGCCACAAGGTGAAGTTTGGGCTTGTATTTGCCAGTTGTCACAAAAAATCACCTAATATTGATGAATCTAATTAGGAGATATAGGGTCAGTATCACTAAATATTGGTCACTACCTCGACCGTTGAATATATCTCCTGCACAACACCTCCACATGTCTTATGAGAGAAACAACAATAGGAATCAATCTTATGAAAACTTAGTCAATAAAGAAGTGTGAGCTGGGGGATTGGGGGGATGGATTACTCGCATTGTCTCAATACTTTCGTCCCCAGGTAATAATCTCACTAACACATTCATTCGTCGCTCAACCTCTGGGACGAGCGGACGTGAGCTGAGCCTGCCCTCTACTGTCAGCCGGTGACAACTTGGTTTTCACAAAATGGCGCAGCAGGCAAGAAGAAGGGTAAACACTGTCGGCATAGAAGTGGTGCGTGGGGCTGTACATGCCCACTCAGCTCAAGTTTTATTACCTGCCATCATCAGGGGCACATACGGCATTGCCAACAAAGAGCTGTATGGTGTAGCCTTGAACGGGGCATATAGAATTTTTGTGAAATTTCGCTATGCAAGTGTATACAAAGACATAGTCGCCAGATTCCAAGATCTTTGTATACCAGTGAATCTTGCAGTGACGGTAAGGCTACATGATGTGTCCTGCCATTATCCGTGGGTGAAGATCAGGAATGTACCCTTTGAGGCTGATGAGGCAGACCTACGTGCCGTCTTTGAGAAGTTTGGGACTGTTCATATGGCGATATTGGGGAAGGGGAAGGAAGGATCATATGCTGGGATGCCTGAAGGAAGTTTTTCCTTGAAAATGACATTGAGGCATCCCATTCCTTCCTATGTTTACCTAGAAGAGTTCAGGACTCAAGTAATGGTGACCTACCTGGAGTTTACCTGGAGAGAGTTTCGGGGGTCAACGCCCCCGCGGCCCGGTCTGTGACCAGGCCTCCTGGTGGATCAGCGCCTGATCAACCAGGCTGTTGCTGCTGGCTGCACGCAAACCAACGTACGAGCCACAGCCCGGCTGATCAGGAACTGACTTTAGGTGCTTGTCCAGTGCCAGCTTGAAGACTGCCAGGAGTCTGTTGGTAATCCCCCTTATGTGTGCTGGGAGGCAGTTGAACAGTCTCGGGCCCCTGACACTTATTGTATGGTCTCTTAACGTGCTAGTGACACCCCTGCTTTTCATTGGGGGGATGGTGCATCGTCTGCCAAGTCTTTTGCTTTCGTAGTGAGTGATTTTCGTGTGCAAGTTCGGTACTAGTCCCTCTAGGATTTTCCAGGTGTATATAATCATGTATCTCTCCCTCCTGCGTTCCAGGGAATACAGGTTTAGAAACCTCAAGCGCTCCCAGTAATTGAGGTGTTTTATCTCCGTTATGCGTGCCGTGAAAGTTCTCTGTACATTTTCTAGGTCGGCAATTTCACCTGCCTTGATAGGTGCTGTTAGAGTGCAGCAATATTCCAGCCTAGATAGAACAAGTGACCTGAAGAGTGTCATCATGGGCTTGGCCTCCCTAGTTTTGAAGGTTCTCATTATCCATCCTGTCATTTTTCTAGCAGATGCGATTGATACAATGTTATGGTCTTGAAGGTGAGATCCTCCGACATAATCACTCCCAGGTCTTTGGACGTTGGTGTTTCGCTCTATTTCGTGGCCAGAATTTGTTTTGTACTCTGATGAAGATTTAATTTCCTCATGTTTACCATAACTGAGTAATTGAAATTTCTCATCGTTGAACTTCATATTGTTTTCTGCAGCCCACTGAAAGATTTGGTTGATGTCCGCCTGGAGCCTTGCAGTGTCTGCAATGGAAGACACTGTCATGCAGATTCGGGTGTCATCTGCAAAGGAAGACACGGTTGCTGTGGCTGACATCCTTGTCTATGTCGGATATGAGGATGAGGAACAAGATGGGAGCTAGTACTGTGCCTTGTGGAACAGAGCTTTTCACCGTAGCTGCCTCGGACTTTACTCTGTTGACGACTACTCTCTGTGTTCTGTTAGTGAGGAAATTATAGATCCATCGACCGACTTTTCCTGTTATTCCTTTACCGCGCATTTTTGTGCGCTATTACGCCATGGTCACACTTGTCGAAGGCTTTTGCAAAGTCTGTATATATTACATCTGCATTCTTTTTGTCTTCTAGTGCATTTAGGACCTTGTCGTAGTGATCCAGTAGCTGAGACAGACAGGAGCGACCTGTTCTAAACCCATGTTGCCCTGGGTTGTGTAACTGATGGGTTTCTAGATGGGTGGTGATCTTGCTTCTTAGGACCCTTTCAAAGATTTTTATGATATGGGATGTTAGTGCTATTGGTCTGTAATTCTTTGCTGTTGCTTTACTGCCCCCTTTGTGGAGTGGGGCTATGTCTGTTGTTTTAGTAACTGAGGGACGACCCCCGTGTCCATGCTCCCTCTCCATAGGATGGAAAAGGCTCGTGATAGGGGCTTCTTGCAGTTCTTGATGAACACAGAGTTCCATGAGTCTGGCCCTGGGGCAGAGTGCATGGGCATGTCATTTATCGCCTGTTCGAAGTCATTTGGCGTCAGGATAACATCGGATAGGCTTGTGTTAATCAAATTTTGTGGCTCTCTCATAAAAAATTCATTTTGATCTTCGACTCTCAGTCTGGTTAGCGGCTTGCTAAAAACTGAGTCATATTGGGACTTGAGTAGCTCACTCATTTCCTTGCTGTCATCTGTGTAGGACCCATCTTGTTTAAGTAGGGGCCCAATACTGGGCGTTGTTCTCGATTTTGATTTGGCATAGGAGAAGAAATACTTTGGGTTTCTTTCGATTTCATTTATGCTTTTAGTTCTTCCCGCGATTCCTGACTCCTAAAGGATTCTTTTAGCTTAAGTTCGATGCTTGCTATTTCTCTGACCAGTGTCTCCCTGCGCATTTCAGATATATTGACCTCTTTTAGCCGCTCTGTTATTCTTTTCCGTCGCCTGTAAAGGGAGCGCCTGTCTCTTTCTATTTTACATCTACTCCTCCTTTTTCTTAGAGGAATAAGCCTTGTGCATACATCGAGTGCCACCGAGTTAATCTGTTCTAGGCATAAGTTTGGGTCTGTGTTGCTTAGTATATCTTCCCAGCTTATATCGGTTAGGACTTGGTTTACTTGGTCCCACTTTATGTTTTTGTTATTGAAGTTGAATTTGGTGAATGCTCCCTCGTGACTAGTCTCATTTTGTCGGTCTGGGGCTCCTCGCATACATGTCTGAACCTCAATTATGTTGTGATCTGAGTATATTGTATTTGATATGGTGACATTTCTTATCAGATCATCATTGTTTGTGAATATGAGGTCTAGTGTATTCTCCAGTCTAGTAGGCTCTATTATTTGCTGGTTTAAATTGAATTTTGTGCAGAGATTTAAAAGCTCGTGTGAGTGTGAGTTTTCATCAGAGCTGCCTCCTGGTGTTATTACTGCAACAATATTATTTGCTATATTCCTCCATTTTAGGTGCCTTAAGTTGAAATCCCCCAGGAGCAAGATGTTGGGTGCAGGAGCTGGAAGATTTTCCAGACAGTGGTCAATTTTTAACAGCTGTTCCTGGAATTGCTGGGATGTTGCATCCGGAGGCTTGTAGACTACCACAATGACTAGGTTTTGGTTCTCGACCTTTACTGCTAAAACTTCCACTACGTCATTTGAGGCATTAAGCAGTTCTGTGCAAACAAGTGACTCTGCAATGTATAGGCCAACCCCCCCCTTTTGCCTGTTCACTCTGTCACATCTGTATAGGTTGTAACCTGGGATCCATATTTCATTGTCCAAGTGATCCTTTATGTGGGTCTCAGTGAAAGCCGCGAACATTGCCTTTGCCTCTGCAAGCAGTCCACGGATGAAAGGTATTTTGTTGTTTGTTGCTGGCTTTAGACCCTGTATATTTGCAAAGAAGAATGTTATCGGACTGGTGGTATTGTTGGTACTGGGGGGGGATTTTTTTTCCGGCATTAGTATCTGTATCTGTTGGTTTGGAGTGGAGGCCATCGACTGTGGTTCCACTCCAGGAATGACTGGATTTGGTGTACGATTTCTGCCATTTCCTGCCAGTTTTTTTTCCTTCCTGGCACAAAAAAACCTCTCCCTCTTGAGTGGCTGTGGCTACCCAGGTTTTCCCATGGCCTGGATGTTTTGTATCTTTTTGTCCCCTTTAGATGGTATGCCTGGCAATTTAAGTTATAGCACAGTCTTTCCTGTACTGAAGAGGTACACATTTCAGGGTGAAAAAGCTTACAGGAAGGGAGTTTGCATTTTCCTGTTGTCATATGGGCATGGCATTTTCTAGGGTGGTCATAGTTGCACGTCCCATCTGTTTTTCCAGATTTCCCATGCCAGCAGATACCAAGTGCATAGTATGTGCACAGGCTTGGTTTCCGCTTGCCTACGCGGGGCAACAACGTACCTGTCGCTTATGCGGTGCCTATGATCACATTGCTGCACAGTGTGTTCAACGACAAGGTACACAGGTGGATAAGCAACATAAGGAGGCATCGGAGGACCTTGCGACGTTGAATTTAGCACGACCTGAGTTGATTTCCTTGGACAAGGCTTGGAGTGTGGAGGTTGAGGAGGCCGCCTTGAGGGAGGAAGAGTGTGTAACTCTTCCGAGAGAGTCATGCGCTGCCGGGCAGGCACTGGAGACCAGAGATGTAGTGTCACTTGGTGAGGACAGGGCCGTGGAGGCTACCATTGATTCAGTCCTCCACGACCTGTTAAGGACCCCAGGAGAGGTCACAGTTGAGGGGCTTGTGGGTGCCCTGGGTACTGCTGAGGTTCCAGGTGGTGAGAGGGGGGGGCATGTCAGAGACCCAGGTTGAGGCTGGGTTGCAAATTGGCACTGTGGTGGCAGAAGTGCACGAGGATGGCT